TTGGTTCAATTCTATCGAAAATTACGAAAGTTATGAGGAAATGACGTTAGCATAGTCAAAAATAGCCCAAAAAAGCGGTTTTTGGGGGTCTGAGGGGGGGCGGAGGGGGTTGGGGGGCTAAAATCCCTCAAAACCTAAGTTTTAGGACACCCTTGATGACTTAAAATGGTTAAAATAAAAATCCATTCACAAGGGCATTTTGACATGCTTATCCCGGGATACCCTTTTAGTGCAAAAAGAGCTCTAAAAATGTCGAACTAAACCGAACTACGACCGTTTAAAGTTTGCAATTCATGAACCGAGATTTTGAGGAAAATCTGTCTAGGTTTTAACCTACCATGGTCTGGCTTTGCTTTGAACCTCCGGATTAATATGCAAATGAGCCCATCATCAGCACCAAAATGAACCAAACCGCTCGCAACTTATTCTTTGGGAAATTTTAGAATATCCGTTTTCCGATGATAACTCAACTTCAGATTTCTTGACCCAATTTAACAATGAGTTCTCAGAAAATTTAGACACCCCACATTTATATCTATTTCCTAGTGGATGGCTAATTTTATATGCATTGCCAACCTACAACTCAATTTTAAAAGTCAGGGTCATGACCTACACAGGCCGACGGAAAATTAGAAATCCAGACCTTTCCGAAAGATAAATACAAAAAACAAATGCGTGTTTTAGGTCACCACAGCGTGCCCTATTTTATCCTACTAAATTGTAACCGTTTTACGATAAATTTCAATTTTCAGTCAACATTAAGATATTTATTTTTAACAATTAAGGCTAATTTATCACGAATTCATGAATACTGGTGTCCACTCGAAATACGTCCTGGCTAGTAGCATTACAATATAAAGCTGAAACCTGTTCCGACTTTGCAACATGTTGCGCCAATTTTAGTCTCTTGAAAGAAGAGACTATGTAATTCGTCTGTGATGCTCCAAGTTGGAGCAATCGAACAATCCTATTGCAATCCATGATACTTGTGATGAATGTCACCATTGACTGCAAGGAAAGTTGCTACAATTAAAATGCGTCAAATGTAAAGGACGTTAAGCCAAGCACGTGACGCATGCACTGCACTGCCACTGTGAAGTGATGATACACCACAACTTCTCGTCGTTTCGCACACCCCATACCTACTTGGTGCAAATTGTAAGAGAGTTAAAGAAGACACGGTTTTATATGAAAACTTACATTTTCCAGCATAGAGAGGAAATGACCACTGCTCAAATCAAAATCACTGAAGCTCTATAACTGATGCTAATGCAGTTTTCCAGTTCAACGAGACAGGGATTAAACGTCCTTTCTCAACTGATCGCACAGGCTCCATCATTAATGGCGCGTTTTTAACTTCCTCTGATCGAAATTTAAAAAATTCCCATAGGCGTCAAAATATCGTTGGAAGAATGAATTCAAAATTCCTTGCTCTAGATGGTCATCCAGGGAACGTAAATCCAATGGGAATATCCTAATCTAATGTAATATGGTAATCCAACTATTGGTTCCGGCCATTGGATAGTAATCCGCGCAATCATGGCCATGGCACGGTAAGGCTACTGCAGTTACGCACTGCATCACTGCCGTGCTGAAGAAAAACGCCGTATGAAACTTTGGACGTTGCCGAATTTCCCTTCATAAAACACAAATTTCCTGGTAAACTTACGAACATCATTCTTCCAATTTTCCCGATAATTTTGTTCGCAATTGAACCTTATGATTCTGAGAATTTCGAGGAAAAGTGTCCATAACTTCTCTCAAAAATAAACCGTTTATCGAAGGAAATTTGACATCTCTCAAAGGTTTATACGGCGTTCTTTCTTAGCATGGCAGATTACCACAAACCACCGTGTGCCATTACCACTAAGGATTACTGTTTGCATACCATTGTATTTCTTAGTTTCAATAAGAAATAAAATGCAATTCCATAAAATTAGCAAATAAATACGAAGACAATTATTCAGGATGTCAAAGACTGACTGAAAACTTTTTATTAATCTCATATGAGAAAAATATTATTATCAGCTGACACTGACATTGTTGTCAGATGAACACCATGAATCTGTCGGAAAACAACGTTTTCTTCTTCGATGTCCGCTTTTATCCACCGCAAAGATGATCCAAAAACCTTCGGGGTGGATGGATTATCCGTGAAAACACGTAATTTCACGTGAGACTGCACCGCACGCAAGTTACGTCGCGGAGATCACGTTGATAGACCGGCCCGGCCGTCAAACCGCGTCACTGCGTCATCACACCCCGACGCAATTAAGTTCCATCCAGATCGGACGATAGGTGCAACGCGCCGAGGTGTCGAGCTCTTGAATAATTCTGAGTACTCCTCTAATTGGGGGTCCTCAATTAACGGCAGTTTGCTAATAATTATTTCGATAGTTAATCGCCGGCATCCCGTTCCAGGTGTTTGTCCTCTGGAACGTAACCTCTGCTCGATAGACTCATTAATGCACAGCGCGCCGCGCTGGATTCTCGCTTTTCCATTCCAGGATTATTCAACTTCGTATTACGTAACGGCCGGAGTCTATTTTTTCCGACCATAAAATTTCCGTGGTAACTCATCCACCTTCCGGAGGCCTTGGTCCGGTCCGAGCAACGCACAGGTCTCATTAGGATCTTTGTTCATCGTCATCGATGACGATGTAGAAAATGAAGAAAACCATCTTGCCGCGATTACAAAATGTGTTACACAAAATTGGCTCGGGGTAGTCCTTGGAGCCCTTGTTTATCGTCTTCGGAAGAAATATGAAAAAATATTAAAGAAGGATTGTTTAGTTCCACACGCCATTGCATTTTATCAGGTGCAGCTCACGGATCAGGAGACATGCTGTTCGAAGGCAGGGGTGCCATTATTAGGGGCCGTCCCTAAAATACGTGACGCTAAATTTACAGTTTTTCAACACCCCCCACCCCCAACCTCCCTGTAATACCCTGTAAGCTGTGATATTCCCCCTAAAAATTACGTAACGCTTACCCAGACAGCTCCTCTCCCCAATTTCGATAACGATAATCTGAATATCTCCTTCCATTTTACTGAACAGATCAGCGTTTCTATTTAGCGAGGAAAGGTGATAGTATTGCAGAGAATATTTTTGAGATTCTTCAAAATTTCCAAAGACGGCTGACGAAAAAGTCTACAGAAACTCGAGAAAAAACCACCCAAACTCATTATTCAACGCTTTGCTCTATACCCTATCCCACCTTCTGAAAGCTGGCAAAGATCCCCCCCCCCCCCCAGAACGTTACATAATAATTTTGGGTCGGCCCCTTAGAGGTACAGATCATAGGAGGGAGATAGTGATCCAAAGAAAATATTTTTTGAGGCGGGGGATGCGAAAGTTCGATAAAACCCTAATTTTCGACAAAGGTCAAAGATTTAGAAGAAATCCCGCTCTTTTACCCTTAATGGTAGCCACGTTTGGCGGTGTTTGACTTCGGATGCGTAACGTGCTTTACTTAGCCAGCGGTTTTTAAAATTTGATGCAATGCTCGATCCATCAACAATTCTCTTTTCAGCCAATTTTGATGTTCAATAATCATGAAAAGAAATCCAGAATACTCTGTGAGACTGTTGTCAATTCAACATGCATTGTTAATTTTCCTCGGAAATTTGTAAATACCGGAATTAAAATCGACCTGCAGAAATCATACGTGCGATTTGAGTTTCACAATTAAATAATGTAATAGAGTTTTAAACAAAATACATTAATTATAGAATTCATTGATCATAATCAGTATCATCATCATGTATATTATTATTTCTTCATCATTTATTTAGATTTTCAAGGTGGGTGAGAAGCTCTTTGGTCGTTCAATTTAATAATAAAAATCTGTGTTTTTTTTCTGTTTCAGATTCTGCACAAGTAATCGATGCAAATCAAGTGAGTTGTTAATTTACATTTTAGCATGTACTATTAGATCAAAGGACGCACACGTTTGAGTCCAATTCGAATACTTACCCACCAGTCTTTTTTCATTTTCCTGTTATCGAGATTTTAGGATTTCACACGTTTCAGCTTCAAATTTAACTCGGTTGAAACTAGTTCGATGGCACGGCATAATTTGACGAACCACGACGAAACGTCCGTCTGTACTCGGCCTTATGTAACACCCACACTCTGCTCTGTAGATAGTTCGAGTTTCACATTCCTTGTCAATCTAACTGTTATCTTGCTGGTATGCGAATGAACTAGAAAATTCTGAAAATTCTTGGCAAACGGCGAGGCTTTTTAAAGTCACACGCATTATCCACGTTACATCCTCTTAGGCAAAACCTATCGCGTCATTCTTATTGACCCACTTTTAACTTCCGAGATCCTGACAACAAAGGCCCATAAGAAAGCTTGTAAAAAAAACTTTCAACGAAAAAGAGACATGAACGAAATAATCTTGTTGGAGTTTGTTTCATGCCCCCTCTCCCCTATGAACCAGAGATAACGTGTAAAAGTTTTGATCATTGCTTGGGGTGAAAATTTTGTGAATGACTTTGTTTAATGATTATACTTGTTTAAAATTTGGCTCATAAGTTTTCGGACCTGATAACCAACATTTTTTTATCAGACGACATTTCATCGAAAGTACCGAAGGTAGCCCTCTCAAATTTTGCTGAGCGGAGCCCCTGGCTGCCTGATTATGGTATTGATAGACAAAGCTATAGAAAAAGGAGAAAAAGAACGATTCCATCGGTGGAGCGGCGGATGGTTGCAATGGATAATGGAGGCGAGTAGTATTAGACTAACTAACGGCAACTCACGAGAGATTTTTTAGTTAGTCCGTCACTATTTCCCACAGCCTATAACAACCACCCCACCCGCTTTAACCGATTGGATCACTCCATTTTCCCTTTGTCTTTCTCGTCTACAGCTCTGTCTATCATTTTCAATAATCAGCCCGCTGGCTTGAGAATTAGGGTGAGTGTGCTAAAAACCAAATTCCATAGCTCAAGACTCGGTTGACGCGAGCCACAACCATAAGCGGATCCAGCAAATTGGCAACATCGTTCTTCTCCATTTGAACCTATGGAAATGTATCGATTCTTGGAGAGGGCAGGTGCGCCACCAAGAATCGATTATTCAATATAGGTTTAAATGGAGGGAATCCGGTGTTGCCAAATTGCTGGGTCCGCCTCTGGCCACAACTCGCGTTGTGTAACTTCCTCGATTAATCGGCGACTTTCTAATTTGGCGAATTTTCTGGGCGTTCCAGCAGGGAGCTCACATCTACAAAGAAGATAACGGGTCACCGATCCCGAGCTACACGGTGACGCGAACATGCGGGAAGAACGGACCAATCGTCCTCGAGGACGTGACACTCATCCAGCACCTGGCTCATTTCGACAGAGAGAAGAGCCCGGACAGAGTGGTCCACGCCAAGGGTGGAGGTAAGGCATCGTCCCATTCATCGCTCTAAGGCCTTGTCTCCACGGGACGTTTTCACGGGATTTGTCTCAAGTTCGAATCGCAGGAATGAAACTTCTGGGATTTTTCCCAGTTACCGTCTCCACGGGACGGGGCTCATACAGTCCTGCGACTAGTTTTCGCGGGAAGAAAAATTGGTTAAAGTCGAGTATTCAACCGGGATTAAAATAATAATTGCACTCAATTGACAATTAGACACATTATTTTAACTAAACAAACATTAACAATGTAGTAATGAATAAAATATCGCACAATTCGTTTTCACTTCTTCTTCTTCTCTCAGTGGGTCCTAGGGGTACAAGTACCATACTTGGTACTGGGAAAAATATTGATTAACTCAATATTTTTCCCAACTTCATAAGTGGGATTTTTCCCTGGGACAAATCTCGTGAAACGGCTCGTGGAGACAAGGCCGTAGATCACCACAGGATCTCATCGTTTTCAAAACATATGTGGGGGGCTCATTATTCGGACTTTGCAGCTGTTTTATCGGATGGATTTGAGTGAAAAAACTCTGTTTCGGACGGACCGCACAGAGAGGGAGGGAGGGAAAGGAAAGGGGGAAGACAAAGGGAGGAGAGAGAGGAAGGGGAGACAACTTTTTTACACGAACCGAACAGTTTGGCAAGCACTTTTCTGTTCAAAAGAGCCCGTGGCCTGTTACGGAAAAAAAGTACAACGATCCCAACTGTACTCCTAGCTGATTTTAGCGCCAGATATTACAGTTGTTGCACAAGCCAGAGGTATGGTTAAGTCAGCTGAAAGTGTGGTTGGACCAACCATACCTCTAGCTAGTACTCTCACAGTCAGCATAAGTGTGGTTGGATTAACTATTACAGCTGGCTGGTGCCTTTACATTTCTAGCTAGTGCAACTACTCTTATGGCTGGCGCCAAAATCCGCTAGAAGTATAGTTGAGAGGGTGATACCTTATTTTTCAGCGTAGTGGAGCAAACCGACCTTCTGGTTGGCAGAGCCGATTGGACGGATGCTTCAGTTCAACGAACCAAACAGCTATACCATGAGAGGAAAACAAATTGTTAAATGATAAAAAGAGAGAAAAAAGTCATGCCTCCAGGAAATTAATCTGATTTTTCTTTTCAATCTAATAGAAGACGGCAGCTTCAGTTGGTAGACTGGACACTACGTATACGTCGCAATATCTAAATGCAACAATTCCTGCTCTACGGTTGCCTTTGTTGTCTATCAAATAAATGAAGGCGTCCTGATTTTATTTCCAAGCGTCCCGCGTGCGCTTAAGCGGAACGTTGATTCTATCGTCTGGACGCAACTATTCGTGCTTACGAGATAGTGAAGTTGCATATCCAAAAATTGAAGGCGCTTGCACTATTTCTCACACTCGTATAGCCGCGCGGAGAAGCTTATTTGAACAGACAATATTCACACCAAAGAGCGAGGGATGTAAGTGCAATGATAGAAAGTATTCAACATGAAGCAATGCACATCGACGGTGAAACTACCAAACCACGTATCTCGTTTGCGGTGTTTAAAAATCTACGCTCACATTTTATTTTTTTGAAGTAGACCAAATCAATATCATTCCTTGAAATTTTCACAGAATTTTTTCCGCACGAAGAGGAAAAATCACAGAAATTTTCAAGACTGGACGTTAAGTAGTTTTTCATTTAAAAAATAAAGTATGACAGGAAGTCTGCGACGTCGCAAACCGAGATACGTGGTTTGGTAGTTTCACCGTCGACATACGAATTGATAATTGGACGTATTTCTATCAAACGGAACTAAGCGCCATCGGGGGAGGAAAGGAGAGGGGGGCTTGAATTGGTGGGTGTTGCGGAACGCGATGCTCGTTCCGTCCTATACTCGCAATGCTTTTCCATGGCGCTTAGTTCCGTTTGACGGAACGCGCTATGCGGGATTCTAAAATCCTCAAAAGGAACTCAGTTTGGCGCTTAGTTCCGTTTAACAGAAATACGTCCAATCATAGTGTTTAAAAAATATTTATGACTACAACTTCTTCACTTAGGTACAAGATCTATAAGTAAATTGCATGTGTTGCGTTCATTTCCCGCTCAACACTGCAACAAGGAGACGTAGTATAAGAATATGAAATACAGTATTAGGACATCTTGAACAATCACACACGCCTCGATCTTTTCATGAGAAAAACAATTATTTTCAGGTGCTTTTGGATACTTTGAGGTAACGCATGATATAACCCAATACTCAAAGGCCGTTGTTTTTTCAAAAATCGGACTGAAGACACCTATGGTTGCTCGTTTTTCAACTGTTACGAATGAAGCAGGAGGTGCTGATACCGTAAGGTACGTGTTCCGTAGTTATTCTCTCAAGTTTTCTGCTCTTATTTGGCCATGCAGTTACTCTGCTTTAATTTGACATACTATCGTAAGTTGACACAAACCAGTAATCTCTATCAAAAAAAAAAGAAAAAAAGAAAAAAAAAGAAAAAAACAGAGGAAGTACTATGATCTCTGTGATCAGTGCAAATAAGACTTCGATTAATATTTTAACAGATGCTTAAAGCTAAAGGGAGTATGCTATTGTTCCCTACGTCGTCGCAATGAAAGAAAGTTTGCAGAGATTCTCTTTGTTCCCTCCAAATTTTTGAATCAAAGAAATTGAAAACATTAATTTGTTGATTGATTGATCTGTTTATTTATTTTTATTATCATTTTTATTATTATTATTTTGAAGTTTTTATTTTTTTTTTTCATTTTCCTACAGGGGTCCGGGAGACTTATTCAATAACGGGATGATGTTTTCTTAAATTATTTTTATTTAATTCATTTATTTTCAGAGATCCTCGCGGTTTTTCATTGAGATTTTACACGGAAAAAGGCAACTGGGACTTGGTCGGAAACAACACTCCAATTTTCTTCGTTCGGGATCCTATGCTGTTCATGGCGTTCATCCACTCTCAAAAAAGAAACCCTGTCACCCATAGAAAGGTAAATGCAAGAGAATTTCACTGTCAGCTTCTGTTTAGAAAATCTATGACTGGTGCGCTCGATTTCCCACATCAACCACTGTTGATAATAGGACGTATGTCGAGACTTGGCAACAGCTGAGTCAGCTGTTGCCAAATCTCAACAACGTATTTCTGCTGTTCTGTGAGTCCATTCTCAGCACTATAAAACCATCTTCACGGCAATTCCCTAATTACTGTGGTATCACAATGCATGTCTTATTTAAAAACAGTAAAACAAGATCGAATAAATAAGTTAAATAAGTATCGAATAAAGTTATTACTACTCAATTTTCCTCCAAAACATGTTCCTTATTCGTCGATTATTGAAGAAGTTCCTTCATTTGAAATTTCAACCCCGAGAAAAATCGTTGAACGTCGATTTATCCTGACCACGAAAAATATCTGTTCACTACCACTACTCGGTGCTTCAATATCAATGTAATCGAGGAAACTTATTTTTCAGGATCCAAACATGGCTTGGGATTTCGTCTCGCAAAGACACGAGACCCTGTTCCAAATGTTGATCACTTTCTCTGATGCCGGGACCCCAGACGGTTTCCGATACATGAACGGATTCGGATCGCACACGTTTGTGTTGGTGAATGAGCACAATGAGCCTACTTACTGTAAATTTCATTTCTTGGTGCGTATTGTATAATTTTATTTCGTATTTCTATGTTTATCCTCAGCAATTTGTTTCCATTAAGTTTGTAAGTGATTCTCCGGACGGTTGGACATTAGCGCCTAGCGGGTTCATTGATGAAATTGATAGACAAAGTAATAGACAAAGAAGACAAAAGGGAAACGGAGCGTTTCCTACGGACGGGGAGGGGGGGGGGTTGATGGATTAAGGTTCTTTCGTGGATTGCCGTTAGCACCTTTGCATATTTCAACCACCCGCTTCCAACAATAGGATCGCCCCATTTTCCTTTTGTCTTCTCGGCCATCGCATTGTCTATCAGTTTCAATAATCAGCTCGCAGAGGTTGTAAAATCACGCCCAAATATTCAGCCAGTAGTAGAATTAATCAACCCTACTTTTTATAAAATGAATTGGGAATTTTTTCTAGATTTTGATAAGACGGCATTGCAGTCGTTTGATACTCCGTTACAGTGGCGTACGTGGCGTGCTTTTCTAGGTATCGATTGATCTGCCATTTAAAACCATGGAAAAGGATCGATTATCAAGGTGTTCGCAGCGAACACCTTGATAATCGATTCTTTACTACAGCTTCAAATGGAGAAATATCGATAATCGATCACTCACGCCACGCCAATGCTCCGTAAGACCGGCACGCACGCATGTTTTTTGTAAAAATTGTCTTCAAAACGTTTAATTTTTTATTGTGTTATTAGCATTATTTTTGTGAATCTCTTTTTGAGAGCGTAGCGGTACTGCGTAATCATTGACAAGATAGTCGGATTGCCTTGGTGGTATTAATTGATCTGCTTTGATGTTTCAGTCGGATCAAGGAATCAAGAATCTGACCGCCGAAGAGGCCACCCGGTTAGCCGGTACCGAGCCGGACTACTCCATCAAAGATCTATATGAAGCCATCGACAACCACGACTACCCATCGTGGACCATGTACTTGCAGGTTATGTCGTTCGACCGAGCCAATCGGGTCAAATTCAACGTTCTCGACGTCACCAAGGTGAGGAAGTCTCGCTCGGACTTTTCCCTAAAAGATTAGCTGAAAATTTTCCCGCTTTAAATGGACGTCTTTCTTCCAAACGGAACTATATGCATTAAGACATGAGCCCTGAGACCCATACGAATATATGCATAACAGGTCATAATGCACGTAGTTCCGCTTGACAGAGATACGTCCAAATAGCAGTTAACATCCTCCTCCCAGTTGCCCTTCGAGGCGTGATAATTGACTATCAATATTTCCCCATTTGAAGCTATGGCAAAGAATCGATTATTAAGGTGTTCTGCCAAACGAGTATCGGATCTGGTCACTTTTACACGTTTTTTAATATTTTCTTTGAAAATATAGGTTTCCATCATAAAAACACAATATGTTTTGTGAGCATACCGTTTTCCTCTAACTATCATTATTTGTGCCTATGAAAGTGATGGAGTTGATTGTATTATTATTATTTCTTAAAGCATTCGGACGATTTGGGAGTATCTGATTAATTTTGAGGATACTAATGTGAAAAAAATGTTAAAGACAGTTCATGATCACCGATGTTATAAATTTTGTTTTCTTTTCTAGATGTGGCCAGAGAGTGATTTCCCTCTCATTCCTGTCGGAAGAATGGTTTTGAACCGAAACGCACAAAATTATTTTGCTGAAATAGAACAGCTCGCTTTTGATCCCTCTAATCTTATTCCCGGCATTCAACCGAGCCGTGATAAGATGCTGCAGGTAAAATTAAATTTTTTTAAGTAATAGCATGACTAAAACTTTTGTGAGCTTTCAAGTGAAAAACTAATGAACTGAATATTTCTTGCCCCTATAAATGTTGTTTTATTTGATAAACTGTGTTCACTCGTTGCTCTTCTTTAAAGAGAAAGAAGGGGATTCCACCTCCCTTTCCGTAAATCAAATTTTAGGAAATCGAACACCTACCAGTATCAAAGCATACATCTCCGATGGATGTGAAAAATGCGTATTTACATTGTAAATTTCAAGCTAGGCTATGCCTTGTTTACATTAGGTACCGCAATGGAAAATTCACACGCAAATTTTTAATTACTTCATCTGAGCATGCTCAAAAAGATAATTAGGCAGTATATTTTTAAATTTTTTTTCTGGTTTGGGATATAGTATGAACAAATTTAGAAGATAGAGAATTCATCGCTTAATGACGTTATCTGGCAGAATCCTTCATGTAAACACATGTATTTTAGCAAATTAGATCAATTCGTCATAGCTACTTCAATAATTGTTCAACTTATGAGCCAAGGGTATCCTCCGGGTTCAGTTCACTCAGTGGTTTCCTCGTAAACACGAGATCCACCAAATTTCAGACACCTGCAAATATTCAATTACGACACGTGTACGAGGAAACGTCAGTAGTAACTTTTGAAATTCTTCAAATTTCAGGCTCGACTTTTCTCTTACAAGGACACTCAACGCCATCGACTCGGCCCGAATTTCATTCAAATACCGGTCAACAGTCCATTGAAACCAAATCACATCGTTAATCTTCAAAGGGATGGACCAGGGCTCATTTACCATCAAGATGGAGAACCCAACTACTATCCTAACTCCTTTAGTCCGTATAGACCGGACATAGAGCAAGATTTCATGAACTACACCATTGATGGCGTCGTTATGAGGTAAGCAATTACTATGGAACGATTTTTTTTTCAAATCGTTCTCGTCAATTAGGTACAAAATCCTTCCTTACTGACGGACAAAAAATGAAAACGCCACACGTAAACAAAATTCAATTTGAGTACTCGGTTTACATCCTTAAAATGTCAACCATTTCAAATGTTCTTGGTCATGATTTTTACAATTATATGCGAATCTTTTCTGTTAATTATAATGCTATAAAAAACGAGAGCTTTAAAAGTAACGAACTTTAGCTGTGCAGTGATCAGATGAAGTGGGAGCAGGGCGATAAAACGCCTTCAGAGTACGTGCTTATGCAATTTGGTCACCCTCAGCCGCAGTTAAGATCTGTGGAGTTCCCGTTATCAAAATTCTACGTTTGACACTGGCACCATAATTGTGTTACAAATAACCAATACATATAAATAAAGAAAACTGATGGAAGTAATTCAACAAATGTTTTAACTGGGTATCGGTTCGCTCAATTGGGCGTATTTCTGCCAAACGGAACTATGTGCATGATGATGTAAGCCCTGTTGATCCCCCTGTTATACATAATATATTCTTATGGGTCTCAGTGCTCATGGCTTAATGCACATAGTTCCGTTTGGCAGATATACGTCCAATTATCCGCGTCGGGACACGTTGGGGCCAGTGACGTGGCGTGCTTTGCGATATATCGATTGAACTGCCATTCAAACCTATGGAAATGATCGATAAACAGGGTGTTTGCACCGAACACCTTATTCGATTCTGTACCATATCTTAAAATTGGGAATTATCGATTATCGCCTCGCCACTTTTGGGATCATGCATGTACGCTGTTTCTCCTCGTTTTTGTTTAAAGCCTACTGATGTAGCTGATTTATTGACTTTCTTCCAGGCACGATACAAGTGACGCAGACAATTATTCTCAAGCCAGAGAGTTCTACGCAGCGATGGCTGATCACGACAAAGCTGCCCTGGCTAAAAATATTGGAAATAATCTGAAGGACGTCAAAGAACCAATCGCGGTAAGTGAATTGTTTCATTAAAAAATGTATCACTCCTCAAACAAATCGAGTGGTACAAACAATAGAGTACCTATATTGAGAGAGTATGACCACTGGGGTTACCACCTCTGATTGGCTCAGCCATCTTAGGCTGAATGGAGCCCTTACGACCCAAAAATGGCGGACGCCATAAATTAATGTAATGCAAAATGACTCAAAATGTAGTTTTCTTTGCTTATCGTAACGAGAAATTTACCCAAATGCTCTATTGCGACATCTTTACATATTTTTAAGGCTAATCGTGTGCAATTTTTGAGAAAAATTATCGTAGATGTAGTAAGGTTGGCAGCAAGTGCGGTTGGTGATAACCGTCAAAAGTTGGCAATGACCCCCCTCCCATCCTCAAAAACCTAAACAAAGCACCGCCATTTTTGGGTCCTAAGCCTCTCCATGGGGCCCAGTGGCCATACTCTCTCAATATAGGTACTCTAACAAACAAGACCGCCGAACTAACAATTTTAGCGAAAATGAGTTAGCAACTTTGCCGCATTCAGCAGTAAAAAATAGGAAAGCTGATTCCCAAGTATAGCAGTGATCGCGATAAATAGCGATTCTATCGGTTGGTTATCGGGATCATATCGGTGGCAATATGATATTATCGCATTAAAAATCGCGATATAAGGCGATTAAATCGCAACAAATCGCAATTTTTATTTCGAAAATATCGCGATAGATTGTCGGGCGGTAAAAGCGCGATTTTATCCCGGTAAGATCGAGGATAATCGCTCAGATGTTGATGATCCTGGCGATTTTATTGCCGATAAAATCGCAATATTTAGCGACTTTTCCGTTGAGAAAAGCTACTTGGGTTTCAGTCTTTTTCCAATTCTGTATGGGAGCGCTTCAATAACGCCGAAATGTACGAAAGAATTTGCAAATCTATCCCTAAAATAACAAAAATAGCGAAGTTTTCTCTTCGTCCTGCAAAATCGTCAGTTTGCAGATAGGCGGTATTTTTCGTTAGCCATCGATACAGTTTTCATATTTTTTAAATTCTAGAGAACATCACTGCCGACTGCCGTGCTACGAAAAAGCGCCGTATAAGCATTCGAGTCACATAATTTCCTCTGATAAAAATGTTTATTTTTAGGGAGAATTATAAATATTTTATCCTAAAATATTTAGGTAATTTAAATCTAATTACGAATAAAATTCTTTGAAAAACTGGAGGAGAAATATTCACAACTTTCCCTGAAAATCCGTATTTTATCTAATACAATTTGGCAACATCTGAGGGCTCATACGACGTTCTTCTTTGGCACGGCAGAACAGGTGACAGCTCTGACAATTACGAAATGACATACATCATGTCATTTTGTAAATGTCAGAGACAATTTTCAGATCGTTCATGCCTTTCATGAGAGGCGCCTTCATCTTAAAAGTTTTCAAATTACCTACCTGTTTTTTTTTTTTCTTTTTTTTTTTTCATTCATTGATTATTCAATGCTATCTCCTTTCAAAGTAATACAAACAATGTTAAGATAATACAATAAAACTATTAAAACTATTAAAAAGATATAACAGAGTAATATCTTATTTCGGTTTACTGTATTGGTATGAGATATGAGATTGGCATTGCATTGAATTTTTAAGCATGTTAAAAATGCTTGATGATTTGTTTTATGTTAGAAAACCATCATCTTTGGCTATTTTTGGTCTCCTCCAGGCTTTAATACAGTTTTTTGCAAAAGTTTGATAGATTATTCTCCTTTCTTTTGTTGCAGGTGAAAGTGATAAGAAGTTTCGGTCTCATCAGTTCCGAATTATCGTCAGGTATTGAATACCATATGAGAAAATGATACAGCGAAATTTGTCTGGATTTCAAAGGCTGAATATACTTTTAGATAATTTCTATTCGGAAGACTTTGCCCTGATTAGAGTAATATTGAAACTCGATTTATGTGATATATCCTGTTAATTTATTTTTTGTGATATGTTTATATATTTTTTGTCCAAATGAGTTCATTCGTCTTTTTCATTCATAGTACATACATAATCCCAACTGTGAACCAGTTAATATTATTTTCCTCTCTTGAAAGGTTAAATTTCATTTTTTGGATAAATCATTTCTACTTGGATGTTTTTGGTGTTTTGACACCATTGAAAGATAAAACACCCAAGTAGAGGTATCTCCGCTCAGGACTGAATAATTGCAGGTGGTGTTGCATCGTAGGGAAATGAAGGCGTTTTCATTTTCGTCCTATGACAACACAAAACGGTCGTTATGTTCAGCGTCAGGCATAAGGAAGACGAAGAAAGCGTCACGGTCTTTATTCATGAATTTCCTCTTAAGGTGATTCGATGGACGCCATATTTTGTGTCAGAACGGCATGCGATATATCGCATCAATTGGTTCCATTTTTTCAGCTACTCGTCATTTTTCTCCAATTTTGAGATCGCAATTCTGTTGTCAGGAGACTAAAGCACTCCCTTACCAATTTTAACAATGAAATTCAACGTAATAAAGGCGTGGTTTTTTCAAAGGAAAACTGTCGCATTCGAGCGCAGTTTCGATATCAGTATCGAATGCGATGTTTTCTCTCTAAAAAAACCACGCCTTTATTACGTTGAATTTCTTTGTTAAAATTGGTAAGTGAGTGCTTTAGTCTGCTGACAACAGAATTGCGATCTCAAAATTGGAGAAAAATGACGAGTAGCTGAAAAAATGGAACCAATTGATGCGATATATCGCATGCCGTTCTGACACAAAATATGGCGTCCATCGAATCACCTTAACAATGCACACTCAAAATCGATACAAATATTTAGCTCTGGACAGAATTTCTGAATAACGCACCTAGATATACAGGGTGTTCGTTGTATGGATGACCTCGGAAACACATGAAAAGCCCAGGATTGGTGAAGTTTAAAATGTGCGCGGTAATGAAGCTCAAGAAATTTGAAAACTCAAATACGGCCCCAACACTACACGCATCCGCTTCCTGGCGGTCTCGGACCACCAACTCGGCCTACACTGCCGTGCTATGGAAGAACGCCGTATGAACCTCCAGGCGTTGCCAAATTTCCGTTGGTAAATCACGAATTTTCGGGATAATTTGTAAATATTTTTCTTTCAATTTTTCAAATCATTTTGTTCAAAATTGAATCTAAAGTTCCTGAAAATTTCAAGAGAAAATATTCATAACTTCCCTCAAAAATGAACAATTTATTGAAGGAAATTTGGCAACTCTCGAATGTTCATACGGCGTTCTTCCTTAGCACGGCAGTACACTTCAAATTATAAACTATGACGGAAGTACTCAAAAGGAGACCAGATGTTCTAAAAAGGCAGCTCATGCAGTTGGTCATGGCTAAGGGGTAAAATTTATATTAGTGCAGGCGAAGAACCGTATTTGGTCAAAAGAGAATTTCTTTTTATTTATAAATAATTTTTCGTTAGTTAACGGGACATCGATAACACTTAAAACACGAGACTTGTAAATCAAGGAGGATAAAAAGGTTGTCGAGCAGTGACGGCGCGTGGGTGCAGAAAATAAGCCCACTCAGACTCACCGCGGGAGGGGGGGGGGTTTGCAATTTGGAAACTATAAATTCTAGCCCGGTTTAAAAACAACGCATGTGCCATTAGTTTCCTTTTGCACATTATAAGTGTTTTTCCAGAAGAGCCAGAATTTATAGTTCCAAATTGCAAAATGCAGTCCAATTGACAAGCTCCAGCTCCCCGATTTTACTCAAGCATCTTTTTTCCGGAGCCCCCTCCCCCCCTCCCCGTAACTTTCTAATCGCAATATGCAGTCAAAATATACCGTTGGCTGAAGTAAAAAAAAAACAAAAAACTAACGATAAAAAACAATGCATACTTATCTCTGATTGCAACGTTACAATGCTCCGCTCATATTTTATTTACTATGAGAAAACCAGCCATTGGTTGTTGTGTAATTTATTGCGCATTTTTACCACGCATCGAAACGCTCAAAGAAAAACCAGAGGCATTTTTACTTCGTTTTTATAAAACTATAGGACATTTTAAAATGTGGTAAGTAATGAAGTTCTGTATTTCTTTGATTATGGACAGCCATCGACGTGCATGTTTTGTTGTGGCAAAATAGAGCATATAACTTCCGAAGATAACTTCTAGCAGAAAATCTGCATTCAAATTCCAAGTGAGCGGATCAGATTATGAGGTTTTGACGTTTCGACCACCGGATGTAGCATGCTTTTGCTTACATAATCGGGCAGCGCGGCGCGGCGTGTAGTGAAAACGAAAAGTGAATGTGAACAAGGTTTTTGCGGTCTCTGGGGGGTCTGGAGACAGGGTGACAGAGACAGACGCAGACGTCCAGACGTCCCTCTGTCTGAATTTCGGGCGGCACACGCCGATAATCGGTTCTCAAAGGGAAAGAAAACCGCGAGTCGGTGCGAGGCGGCACTCCGACGCCAACGCAGGTGTCAGGATACAGTCTGTCGTAGACACCCTCGCGCGAGCCAATCAAAATCCGTGTTGATTGGGAGAAGCCAACTCCGCGCTCCCCACTCCATCCCGATCATGTCACATGCTCACATGCAGATTCATCACGCTTCCGTGTTCCGCAGCCGCACTTTTCGGTCGGTGGTCACTCGAGTCGGTTGCCGTGTCACGCGCCCGGTCGGAGTGAAGCCCTCATGGCTGCAAATCATTTTCCTTTCATTAAAGGTTTTAAGACTTTTGAACTCTTACAACGTACTTATCTCGTTACATTCTTACCTCGTTTGTTTCGCGAAAACTCCTCGGTGTGTGTGGAAACGATCGTGTGGAATAATTCGTCGCTTGAATTGAGTGCTCCATTTTCTCGAAATTCATCAACTTGTGCCTAAAAGGATTCTAGACTTTTGAACTCTCACAACGTGTCTCGCAACATTCTCAACTTGTTCGTTTCGCGAAAACTCCTTGGTGTTTGTGGTAACGATAGTGTGACGTACTATCCGTCGTTTGAATTGAATCCTTCATTTGTTCGAAAGTTAGTAACTTATGCCCGGTGCCTGAGTGAATTGAATGAAGGCAACTGATTCTCGAAATGTCCATCAATCTCGTCGTTTTCGGAATTTATTTTGCCGTGCGTGGTTCGGTGTCTCGCGCGTTTCGCGAAAACTCTTCAGCAATTTATTTGAAAATGATCGTGTATCTTAATTTGTCATTGAATTTAAGGATGGCCGCCATTGAGAGTCTTTTTATCCCTCGTTATGGAAACTCGTGCCCGGCGTTTGAGTGAACTGATCTCGGATAATTGATACTTGATATTTCCAAAATTTTCATCGATTTTCGTCGTTTTAAGTGTGCCCATGTGAACTTCTTCGTTTTTCAATGAACTTATAACTTATTCGCGCGGGATTTTCTTCGCTGTTCAGTGGCCTGTTCCTCAAGGATTCGGGAGTGATGTTCGTTCTTCGTGTGCGTGCGTATTTCTGTGTGTGCGTTGTTGTATTTCCTAGACACAAAATCGGCTTCGCGTTTGACGTGTGTCTGCGTCTGTTTCTCAATCTACCTACCGCAATTAATTTGATCTAGTGTTCCTTACTATTTGAGGGAGTTTGATACCTGGTCATAGCTTCCTTTGATGCGTGTATCTCTTGGCGTTGGTCTGCATTCAGGTCAGAATTATTAGCACATAACTTACTTTGATTCTGCTCAGATTTGGTGTCATAATTGCAAAATTGTGTGTAACCTCCCATAGGTATTTTACTCACCCTTTTCTCGTCTTCCTTCGCCTAATCATTTCCGTTCTGTCTTTCTTAACGTTTATTGTGCCTCATTTTGATAGTTCTTAACCATCCTCCCGCAAAATCTAAGAGCAAGTATGGACATGAGTGAATATATTGTTATTTTCCTTAGCTAGGTACTTCTATAATCCATTGGCAATTGTTGCTATCACATTTTTCTACGCCTGCAGTAATGTCTTGCACATGCTGACTTCGCAATTACTGAGGAATCAATATTTTAGTATTTGAGTTGAACAATCTGGAAAGTTCCAAAGTAGATTTTCTAGCTACCTGTAATTAATTTAATACCGTGCATAGTCCCTTCAGATAATCTGCATAGCTGAAAGTAGCTTTATAATCAGTACAAATGTTCTCACCTAAGTATATATTTTCTCATGTAATCGCATGCCAAGACACGAACAATTTTGAGATGGTTCCTATGATCATTGGTAGAGTTTAATCTTAGGTTTTTAATAAATTTTTTTTTAAAGCTTACTATTTGAGTGCCCTCTTTCTTTGACTAGGCCCATCAGTTAAAATTGAAGAGAGAGAAAGAATAGATGAAAGGGGAAGGGGGGGGGAGAGCGAGCATCCAAAGTCACAAGAACCTTACCTTAATTTTTCTTAAGTACCGGCCTTTGGTATGAGACTCAAAATGTGTCTCGGAGATATCCAAAATTCCAAGATTTTCCGGAGCAGACTCTCCTAAATTTCTCTATGCGCTGAACAAAACTCAGGCTCCCAGAAAAGCAGCCCCCCCCCCCCCCCC